TTTTTTCCTACCTCGCTGCCCTCCACTTTCCCATTCTGGAGCGCTAGCTTTCGCCCGCCCCCTTGGCCTCAAGTATGTTTGGATGTTTTCCAGGTTGAAAATCCAAGGTCATCGTCGAAGGAACTCACATTGGACGGATTTGTTTGTCATCCGTGTGGAAGGTCCCCCATCTCAGGGATCCCATGTGTCCCCCATCTCACCGAAGCCGATGGATGCGGGACTTGGGGACCGGTGCATGGACCTTTGGGACCCGGTGCATGGACCTTTGGGACCCGGGGCATGGACCTTTGGGACCCGGGGCATGGATGGTAGCTAAGCAAGGCCCTTTGGAAGAACCGTTCCAATGGGGTGGTTCGGTCGGTGGGTCATCGGCCGGTCCTCTCCTGCCCGCCGGTGCGAGGAGAAGATCTACGGCCGGGGGTACATCTACACGGGCGGCGATGAGATCTCGCAGAAGCTCGTGGACCTGGGCCAGCCAAACCTGCAGCCAGGAGGGGCCGCCCAAGGATTTGGTGGGAGGCCACCAGGCCATGTTCGTGGAACTTCAGGAAAAGAGTGGCTCCAGGATTCCCCCCGCAAAACAGGTATTAACAATTAGACATTTGTGACATATAGCATCATAATTATGACATCACTGACCTATATGTTTGATTCACCGATATACATAATTCATTCTAATGAAGCCACAACAACCGTGAAGCTATTGACCAATATGATGTGCCCCAATCGAATTGTGACAAGCCACCGTTATGGGTTGGAAGATGAGGAACATGGTTGCTGATTACGCTGATTAAGCATGATTCGGTGAATTTTGGAGGCGTGCCTTGTAGGAATGCCAATGTAGACTGCTGATTGATGAACCGTGCTGAACCCCTACGATCAATTTGGCGTTTATTTTAAAACATTTAAAGGAAGGGTTGGAGATGCACCCCTTTCAAAACAACATATTTTGTTGTGATTCCGAATCGCACAGGGAGACCGCCCTGCCCTGGCTGGGTAGACCGGTCTCTTTCGCACTCCGCGCCACTCTGCCTCCAGGCGCCAGCGTCCTTGACGTCGGCTGCGGGGCTGGGGGCACGGCCTACTATTTGGCCTCGCATTGTCCAGGTGTCGTTGGGGAAACGAGTGAGTCTAAGATGTCTAAGGAACAGACTCCAGGGTGACCATCAGTGAACATGACTCAACCCCAAGCGATGCAACGATTCTGATTGGCTGTCTGACTGGTGCTTGTTTGACAACTAGGTTGAGGCCCATTTCGCTTGGAGTTCTTCTTGGTCTGTCGACACGCCTTCCTTCGTTTTCCACGAAAACCGAACACCTCGAAGACCGAACGCCTGTTGCTTGCAGTGGGGTCATCGGAATCATCACCTTGAATAGGATGCTGCAGTGTTTCATGCTGCAAAGACCAGGAGAACGCCCCAAGAGTCACATGTTGCTCGGGGTGGTGTGGTCCGACTTCCTCAGGAAAGCGAGTGGTTGTGATGTGACAGGGGCACCCCGATCTTCCTCCGTTCGGAAACTGCACCCAACTCCATGTGACTGGCCAACATCTCGCTTGGCGCAGGTCGCAAAAACCAGTCGCCACGCCGTAAACCGCCGGGCCGCCGCACCGTGATGTCGACCGGGTCGCCCCGGGTCGCCAGCACCAGTCTTCGTTCAACCTGCACCCGACTCTAACAGGTCTCCGAAATGGAGGGTTAGGCTCTAACAGGTTTCAATTGGTGGCCTATTGGAGGGTCCTGGAAGAGGGTTTTGACATCTTTGGGTCCTGTTGGCGAGGCCGGGCCGATCCTTTTTGCTTCAGCTTGGGCCGATCCAAGCACGGCGGTCCGCTCAATGCGGACCCAACAAACCACACAACGGTTTGGGCCTGGTTCCGGCAACTACCAGTCGTTGACCTGGCCAAGAACGAAAATCATTACGATAGTGGTCCCCAAATAGATGACCGTGGCATGGATTCTACATTTTCTACCTGGGGATTTACTTTTTGTATCTATTTGGGGTTCTCTTGTTGGAACCCCCATGAACCCCCCCAGCAGGCCTCCAGGTTTCCACTAGCTTGTTGGGCCCATTTGGGGGTCTGTATATTTGTTTGGAAACTGGTCAGTCCATGGAGCCCACAGCAAAGCTGGGTTTTAGACCGCTAGCTGTTCCGCTGGTCGGCTTGAACAGTAGCACCAGGGCCAGACCAACATACCTAATTTGGAGGCCATACCAGCATTCCAAGAATTGCAACTCCCATTTCCACGCTAACCATGTTCGCAATGGGAGGCATCTTTGTGCATGGTGCGAACTGGAGTTCAGAGATGGCCTCCTTCAATGCGGGCCGGCTCCCACAGGCGCACACAACTTGCAGACATGAACGTGGTGAAGCCACCTTTTCCGCTGTCTTTATGTTGTGGCTTGATGCGCTGTCTTGGGCTGGTGAGGGTGGGAAACTCAAGGATCCTATCGCTAAGGGGGAAATTCAGGATTCCACAAGCATTTTGGGCTCGCTACCTATGCCAAACTGGGAAAAACAGGTGCCGAGCGAGCTGCGTGCACGAGTAAGCTTCGAGCTGACCCCGGAGTGTGGGGTGCCAGACGCTTGGGGTGAAATCGACGGGCCATCCTTCTGGGCTGGGTGTGAAACTTGAGTGTCAAATAGCTAATATGAACTAGACACTACCAAAATGGGGTTTGTTTTGTGTAGTATCTTCCAAACTTGGGTGTATGTAAGAAGTCCCGTCGAGTCCCTTTCGTTGGGAGGTGGAGCGACCCTAAGCAGCGAGGGAAACGGGCGGAGGGGTGACCCGGTGAGGACCTGCACGGCAGGGTTCTGTCAAAGGTTCAGGGCCCCGGCCAGGAAACCTGCTTGGTTTGCTGCAAGCGGTCAGTATTTCCAAGGTGGTGGAGAACACATGAGAACACTATCGCACAGTTTGGAACCCTCCCTGAATGACCTGGAGGCTTCGCCAGACTAATCTCTTCATGAGGAGGGGTTTCTCACGTGAACTATATATACATATTGTTATGATCAAGAGGTGCATTGGGCCAGAGAAGGGAGGAATGGTGCATGTGGGATGGGTGATTTCTCAAACATACATGGGGTGATCAAAGGTCACGTTCCGGAGACAGATGGACCAGAAGATTATGCACAAACACTGAACACATCTTCGCTGACCCTGCCCATGTGGCGGCCTCAAACCGCCACGACCGTGGTGCATGCACATGCATGAAAGTGCCCCTGCATGCCCGGCTGCCATCCGCCGGGGGTTTGGTGACACAGCTCGTCAGAAGCTTCACCTTTGCTGACGAGCTCACCGATGAGTGCGGGTTTGTGGTTGACTCTCAAGGGAGAATTCGCTTTATTACAAAATCTACAGGAGTGAGTCCTAAAGTGCCAAGCTTTGAGAGGGAACAGGCATTCTAATGGTTTGATACTTTGGCTTCAGACTTGAGCTATGAGCCATGAGCCATGAGCTTTATGTCTACCAACTCAACTGTATAACCATAGAGCTTGATGTGGTCCGGGGCGTTCGAGAAGACATACGGACCCCCGGACCCTATACGCTCCCTCTCCGTGCTAAGGAGAATGAGCTTCGATATCCTCCCAACATCTTCGACTTGGTGGTCATCCGAGAGACCTTTATGTACAACGCCTGTAAATGGAAGCGGATGGAAGTGGATGGTGTTTTCCATGCATGGCCATGCATGACACCATACATTTGACCAGTTTGGAAGTGAATAGCATGTTAGATCATGTTAGCTTGGATGACCAGTTTTCCTCTACAAACCACGTGGTGTCTTGCTGGTCCCAGGTCACCGGGAACCGGACCGGCGACCCGGCAAAACCCGGTGAGTGAGTGGTTTGGCGTTCCCGGTGCCGTTCCCGGGTGGACCGCAGTGGTATTTGGAGTTGGAGCCGCCATCCCAAGGTATTTGGAGCCGGAGGACAAGGCAGTGATCTTGAGAAAAGTCAAGAAGATGCTCAGGCATGAGCCCTCACAACCTGGGACACTGCCAGATTCGACGAAAGGAATTCGACATGGACTCCTGTTAGCTTCTATGTGGGCGGATCGCCAGCTCAAAAAGACATGTGCAAGCATAGAGCATGAAGGACCTGAAACAAACACAATCTTACAATCTTGCGTTCTTGCATGCAGCGGCATGCATATAAACAGTCAGAGTCATATAGACATATTGCGACTCCAGAAGTCTGGTCCCACTCGAGGCTAGTAGCGTCCTTGTTACCAGTAGTAAGGCCAGGGTCGCCCGGTTCGTAGCGTCCCCTTGCTCCGTTCGTAGCGATGCCCATCCTTGCTCCGTTCGGTTCGCGTCCTCTTGGGCTTCTTCCTGTTTGATCAACGAAGGCCCGGCGGACGCGTGTTGATCATCGACTACTGCCGGGGTCGCCCGGCACTCTCGCAGACCTTCCAAAGCCACATCCGGCGCTGGCGCGGAGATGGGCTGGGCAGAGAGGGAGGAAAACAGGGCAGATGAAGTGCACAGATGGGTTGGTGTTTGATTCTTGGGTAGGCTTGGGTCCTTGATAGTCCTTGATATGAGAGCAAGTTGATGAGTTTGCGGAATTGACCCTGGGCCATGCTGAAGCTTCTCTTCTAACTAGCTGTGCTTCATGCCCAGGTGCTCAGTCCATCTCGCATGCCCGCGCTCAGACTTGCACAAGCTGTAGCATGCCAAGAAGCTGCCAACCTCGCGTGCGTCCTCGCGTGCTTCCTGCAGGCACTACGACTGCAGTTCTCCAGCAGAGCTCGAAGAACTCTTGGCACACCACTTTGAAGTGAGCCTTGCAGAGGCGATGGGGCCCGGGTGAGGCTTGGTGCAGGGCCTGACGAGAATGTCAAAACTGTTGCCAGCTGCTATAGTAGCTTGTGCTGCATGTTCTTTGCCAGGATCACACTCAAGACTTCATCAAGTACATGGAGGAGGCGTGTGGACAGTCCTTCCCAGCTAGTTGGAGCACCGCCCATAGGGCCGTGGTGTTTTGTGCTGTTTTTGATGTTTTTTTATGTGTTTGTTCTGGAGGGTGGGTGGGGTGGGGCTGGGATAATAACGTCCGTGGTCGATGCAGTATAGGTTGTGAGTCACGGTCTCTTCCCCGGAAAAGTACTTATATATATGTTCCATCAATGTCATTTTTAAATGCGATTCTTGGCACAGTTTCTTTTCCGTCAAGCGCGTGCGTTGTATTCCGCAGTTTTCCAGGTCTCAGTATGGTGTGTTTTTCCTTTCTTTCTGCTTTGTCTCTTGCTTTCATTTTGTTGTTGCGGTTGGGGCACTGGACAGTCTGTGATGCCTGCAACCCCGGCAGAGTTCTACACAGCTTTGAAAAGATTGCTGAAAGCACACGGGCCATGAGAGCATGAGCTTGAAAAGGTCATTGACATCCAGCAGATGATCGAAGACATGTCCCTCCAGACAAGTCCATAAACGATTGTGGGAGTTGCCCCTTCTTTTAACTGTTGATGTCGCCATTCTACTGGTGAGTACATTGAACAATGGTTTCCCAAGGTAATTACGTCATTCAATCCTTGAAAAAACTGAACACATTTTCCCCAATGTAATTCCGGGCATCTGAGACATGCTGGTGATCAGAAATGTCATTTCGACCTACGGCCCTCTATGGGCGGTGGACCTAGTTACAGTTATAGTTATATAAGTTATATACACCGCCGTATGCCTATAGTCAGTTAGTTAGTAAGTTAGTTAGTTCGTTAGCATGACTGGATTGATGAGCATCATAAACCAAGCCGCTGCTGAAGACGGACCACAGAGGCAAAAGGATACCATGTTGCAAAAGATGCAAAACAGGCGAAAGACGCCTCAAAGAGCGGTAGAGTTGAGCAGTACAAGACAAAGGCGCAAAGAAGAGGGAAGACAATGAATTTGCTTAAAGGCTTAGGCCAAACAGTGGCCCAGCAGGCGGAAGGAGGAAATGGAAGGAAGAAGGGAAAGGAAAGGGAAGGATGGGAATGCGATGCGCAGTCCTTTTGAAAGTACGCCTTCTTCTGGATCAGTGTGGTTTTAGTATCGCCTCGGTCTTGATGTTTTGGTGGTAAAGCGACAGGCGACAGAGAAGAGCAAGAACACAACACTTTTTTTTTTGTGGGCCTTGGTCCTTACACTGTATACTGTATACAAAACTAGGGCCTGTTACTTCTTTAGACTTTCTTCATTTTATACAGTATACGTTGTTTGCTTCTTCTTGTGGGCCTTGGTCTTCTGCAGCGCCTCGGTGGTAAAGCTGGAGAACTGGCAGAACGCCCCTGGTGGTTGAGCATGATGTTCCTACCCCTTTTGCGGCCCAATATGTCCCAACTGAATAGTACAAGACACCCAGAAAAGGAGGACACGGAAACTCAGCACGAGGCAGGGGGGGGCTCTTTGTCGCCCACGTGTCAGTGACGCTGTCGCGTCCAGGGCCTGGCTCGAATCGAAGAGAACTTGGGGCCGAGCACGTGGCGCGCTTGGAGCGCGCACCACGTTCGCCGCTGTACGGTCCACTGGTCGATGCACCATACGGTGCACTGCTCGACGACGGACGGTTTCATGTCGGGAAAGAAGAAAGTCTCGCCCCCTTCTTGACCACAGGGCAGGAATTCGTGTCAAAAGAGGTGAATGTAACTGGACTACATATAGTCATATATAGTCATATACTTCACTAAGTCATTGTCAAGAACCTATTCAAGGGGGCACTCTTGGAGACAGACCTGTGTTTTCTTTTCCTCTCCCACTTCTGACCAGGCTCTTTTAAAGAAGGTGTCCCAACATTGATTGAAACGATGTCCGGCACGTTTTGCGATTTTGGGTGCACTCCGAAATCGGCCCTTCTTGGAATCACTGGGTTTTGGGCCACCTGCCAAGGTCCCAATTGGAAGGAGTGAAACTTTCACCACTCCCTCAACATTTTCCACAACTCCAGATCTCCGGATCGAGGTGGAAAGTGGGGCAGATGGACCTGGACAACTCACAAGAGAAGATCCAGGAGCCGAATCCAGGCAGTTTAAAGCAAGGTAGAATCATCGTATGTTAACTTGAGCAATCCTTCATACCTTCATAGCCATAGCAGTCCAAGACAATCTAGAATCTAGGGCTTTGTTGACCAGAAAAACCCAAGGTGAGTCCGGACTTGATTCATCACCAGCACAACAAACTAACTATTGTAGTCTTTGAGGCCATCCTATTCTGAAGCCACCAAACAGATGAGTTATATAGTCCAATGCAACCACTCCTGCGAACCTGCAAACCTGACGGCATAGCCGTCACATGACTCGCAGCAGTCGGGGATGATCTCACCAGGACGCCCTGAAGGGCCTCCCTGAGGAAGTGCAGAAGGAAGCCTCTGAGGCGACACAACCGGAGCGTGCATCGGCACGGCGGCGCGGGGTGTGGGGACGGCGCGTCCTGGTTTGGCCCAATGGTGAGAGGACGGAGCACTGACAACGCATGGGGTATGGGTACCCATGGTCAAGGCTTACTGAAGACACGACAACGTAATGTGAAGAGACGGACATAGGATCCCAAAACTGTAAGAAAAATACACCCATTTCGAACATTCACCAAAGACATACAAAAATCAGTGGTAGATGAAACCTGAATAAATGACAAGATGCTCACCAAATCCTGATGTCCTTTGAGTTACTGGTATGTTTTAAGCAGAAATCATTCATGTATGGTATAGCGCCAGCATATATGTGCATATGCATTTTTGGATACAGATAGGGACGTGTGGAACAGTAGTAATTATACGTCACATCATAAATGGCATATTATGCACAGACTTGCCGTATCATTGCCAATACTTGAGACTTAGACACAGGTAGACCTTGGAGGTCATGCAACTTTAAAGCTTGTGACCCGGTGGGAACCGTGAATGTTGTTGCTTGTGACAGGTGCACAACGGTTGGGGGTCGACTTGGTGGTGTTCGATCGACGTGACTCGGAGTGACTCGGAGTGACTTGGAGTGACTGGCCAGGCGGCCATGGAGAAGCTGAAGCTCTACAAGGCAGCAGATCATGGGCCTCATGGGATGTTGGCATATGTTGGCCTCGATGGGATTCAGTGGTCAAGGGTTGTGGTTGTGGTTTCCTCACGTGGAAAAACGTCAGCTGATACTGGCTTGGAGGACGAGCCGTCCAAACAGGACCCCACGAGAGATGACAATGTGTCCTATGACTATGACCTATGAGGCACTTTTTGTGGCACGCGGGGGTTCAAAGATTTTTTCAAAGGCCTGCGGCCTACTGTTACTGGATGTTACTGGTGTAGCAGGCTAGGGAGGATAGCGTGTGCAGCGCTTGACCTATGACGCCACCCATCCGGTCCGACCGCCAGGCCTCCATCGAGTCTGACATCGAGCGACTGGGCGTGATCTCGACCGTTCACCCGGCAGCCGCACGTGGTTCGCAGGGTTGGGAGGTGAAGGCCGTTTTTGGGAGGTGAAGGTGAAGCAACCTATTGATCTTAAGGGGTTTGGAGGCCCTCGGTGATTCAGCTCGCTGACCGGCTGGCTCCGGTTCAGCAACCCAGGATCCGCACTGGCCGAGTCGTCCAATAAATCGGTGCCAAGATGTGGAGCCCAGGATTCAAAAAGAAGATTACCACTGGGCCAAAGACACATGGTCTTTGGAGAGGCAAGCAGCCATGGATGGAGATTTGCGCCTTGGACCTGAAGACATGGCGCAAAAGTCGCAAATGATAAAGGATTTGTTTCACATGAAGGGGGCCGCTGCACCTTAACCAACAGGGAAGTTCATCATACTTCGTCTATGGCCAGGGTAGTTGGGGCTTTTGTGGAGTCACCTCGCAGGGTGCTTCCAAATACTGTATATAAATCATTAGAAAGATAAGAGAGTGAATCCATTTTCAATATGGATCGAACCAACACTACCTCTTTCCTGTAAACATTTGTAAACCTTCAAATTCACCATGACCGGAAGCATATGGGAAAGATGATTCAAGGCGTCTATGAGGTTCTCAAGGTTCCACTTTCCAGGCACTCCTGCGTTTCAAAGTTCTTTCCGGATGTCTTCGGAGCCCTTTCCCCCTCCCCTAGTCTTCGGAGGTTTGGGAGGTTTAGGGCAGTCCTGGTTTGGCAACCGTGTCCATCCCTTGTCCTGCTTGGTGAAACTTCACAGCCATGCCAGCATTGTTCAATCGTTGAGAGAGGTAGAGAGGGGGCGAGAGAGAGATCGAGAGAGGGCGAGCATTTTCTTCGAACCGTCTACCAGCAGAGGATGCAGAGGTGGGTCAGAACCCGAACGTTCGACTATCCTATAGGTACCCCTGGTTACGGGTCCTAGTTCAGGTCACTGGCCACCTCTGTAGGTACAGTGTTTCGCCTCGCTGGACTTGCTGAGGAAGTGGTACATCTTCGTCGGAAAGAAGGGCGATCTCTCCAGCTGAGTCACCTCGTTCGGGCCAGCTTCTTGAGGCCCATAGTCCTTGTGAACATCGAACGAACCTCCGAAATACACTCCCTGGAACCAACCTGGAAGTGGAAAGTGATCCCTTGGAACTGCCATTTTCCTCTACAAACAGGTGGTTTGTGGTTTTTCACTTCCATGATGATTCCAGGGAGTGTAACCCTCGAGAGCGCCGAAAAATTCGGTTGTGATCTCTTGCGCCTGCCGAGAACACCGAGTGCAACCGGCCTTTCGTCCGGACTCGGAAACTTGGCGGATGACGACTCCTGGCGCTTTTGCAAAAACGTCGGGATCGGCTGGGGAGGCATTGAAGCCATACTCCTTGGTGGGTGTTTCAGTGCTCGATGTTCATGTTGATGAAGCCATCAAAGGCGGTGGAACACTGTGGAACATCCGCTCCAAACAACGCCCACCATGCGTGCTTGCGCCCAATATTTTCTTGCTTGCCAAGGCTGTTGTATGACTATGGCTCATGAGCTCTGGCGTTAAACATGTGTACAGACTTGTACAGATGTGTACACTGTAATCCCGTCCACCTATTAATTAATAAACATTCCCCCCCCTATTAAAAACAACTCGGTCGCATTTTTTCCAATAGGGGGTCCCTGAAATCGGGGGGTCCAAAATAGGGTCACCTGGGAAGAGCTTCAAAACCAAAAAGTAATCCAGAAAAGTTTTATATAAAATCCTTTATTAAACTCGTAAACTTCCAGATCCATCCAGATCCAAGGGTCTTCCTTTTCCTCTACAAAAACCTTTATTAAATACTGATTCTTCATTAGACTAACAACCAAAGCTTTCGAAAAGGTGATGTCGCTGTGTCATGCGGTTTTGCACGACCTCGGTGGCAAGTGCGTTTGCGTGAGTCCGTGCCATTGGAGGAAGGAAAACTGGCTGGTGTAAACGCGGCGTGTCACGAGGGAGTTTTGGGGGGAACCTAATTAAAACAACTACCACCAAAATGGACCATGTTGGTAGTTTAGTGGCGGTTTGAAAGGGCGGTAATTTAAAGCCAAATATAAACCGAATTTAGGGGTTCGGACGTTGTAATATGTTGTAATAGGTACTCGGGATTATATATAAATATACCGTAGTGTATGTATATATATATATATGTATGAAGTTGTTGCTGCAAGCCGCCAAACTTGAACAGACACATCGATGTAGCTTGCACTGAAACAACTTCATGTTGGCCTCCATGTTGGGGCAGGCTTACCACCATCGAACACACGGTCACCGCAACCTTGGCCTCGGTCCTGCCAACGACCCCGATGGCCTCGGTCCTGCGGCGCCCGAAAGCGCGCCCTCGCCCTCGCCTTCGCACCTGCCGATGGATGCGGGTGCGGTGTGCAGAGGGCAACGTGGTCGTGCGGATGGGCGGCTTGTCAGAGGTGCCCAGGGAGGGAGGAGAGATGAAACGCAGAGCCAGCACGTCGTTCCACAGCCACTTTGGCCGCTTTTCTTTGTCAGGCTCCAGAAATTGGGTGCAGGCACGGGATAGGTTGACTTTCTTCAGATGGCGTACCTTTCCCATCCTTTCCCAAAATAACGGCCCTTTCTGGTTTTGATGCAGTGAACTCTCGACGTGACTTGCGTTTGGTACACTGGTTTTGATGCAGGG